AATAACCACACAGAACACCTAATAACCACAGCCGAAACATCCAAACCAGTAAGTCAGGTGATGGGGCACATGACCCTCTATGAACAATAGAGCTAATCCAGCCTATTGTTAGGCGATGGCCCTCTTTTGCATGTGACTAACCTGTTTGTCCATGTGGAGGCGGAGCTTATAAGACTGAGTTCACCTGAAACTCATCAGACTGAAGAAGTCTCTTGGAGGAGAGATAAAATGTTTCACTAAAGAACCCATCCAGAGGACCTACTTTTTTTTCTTTTTAATGTTTTCTACCTGGATTACTGAGGCACCAGGATACTTAGTCTTTAATAAGTTAAATATTTTCATTGTTCTCCTTTTTCAAGGCCCACACTTGAGCTTTAAATGACCCAGTCTGCCAGCCACCAGCAGCTTGTTTCCATCCCAGCCATAACTGCAGATAAAGAGGGACAAACTGATTAGAGATCATCTGCAGCTGCGTCAGTCAGTTCCTCCTGGCATTTGTTCCCTAAACCATTACCCAATCCTTTCACACACCACCACAAATACATGTGTTATCTTTTTTTAGTCTTATCATTTCATAATTTAAAAGAAAACAACATTTTGCATCTGTAGTTGTGTTGTGTGAATATTTTAAATAATTTTGACAACTCACTGAAATGACCGAAATACCCCAGGGGAACTGTTGCAGTAGATAATTAAAAAACTTGAGACAGTTTAAAGTTGGTGTTTGAGAGATCCTGTTTTACAGTAACGTTACACCATCTGTCCCCACCTTTCATGCTGCCGCTCTGTCTGCACACATAAAGCTGAGGAAGATAAGGGTCGACTCCAGAGTGCATAAAGAGACTTTACCTGGGGTGGGGGAAGGCCCAACATGCAACTGATTAACTTTTTATGTCACTCTCCATCCATGTATTAAATGATTTATCCATGGTGAATGTATGTGACCTCAGCCTGCTTGCTCTCAAGCAAAAACACCCAATTTCATCACAATTTGGAAGTATCTAAGGTTTACATGTGTTATGTATGATGGACTATATTTTTTCATAGAAAAAGAAGAGTTAAAAAGAAAATTAAAATCAAATATTGATGAAAAAACATGTTTTCTCATTCCTGTCAAGCCAGAGTTTTACACTAACATTATCTTATGAACTGATTTGGTCAAACTTTTTAAACAGCATTTTGCATAATCTCATGTAATATTCCAAATGCCATAAGATGTCCCGGCCAGACAGTGTTGTAAATGACCTCCATTACCATATCTAATTTTAATGTTTTATCTACTAAATTAAAAGTAGCCATTTTTGTGTAAGTTTCATTAGTTGTGTTGGTCTTTTTAAACTGGATTGACTCCAAAAAGTAGTTGTAAATGTACATCCACTGATTACTTCAGAAAGTAATCTGAACTACATCTATACCGAACTGTTCAGAAATATTTGTGAAATTTTCTAAACTACAACAATGGTTTTATTTAAGGTCACGTGAACGTGTCTGACTGGTCACTGAGTGTGTGGGTATGTATATATA